ATCTTGGCTGCTGCTGCCATTGGCGTTGATTGTGGATCAAAAGGAAAATGAAATTGTTGCCAGTTTCAAACCTTTCTCTATATATCATGCTGTTGCTTATTGGTCCAGTTGTGAAGATTTTGTTTTCTTTATGTTGAGGTGTAATCCATACTGAAGACTATAGTCTTTCATCTTCATCAGTAAATGGTTCAAGTCCTCTTTGCTTTCAGCAAAGTTGTGTCATCTGCATATCATAGGTTGTTAATGAGTCTCCCTCCAATCCTAATGCTACATTCTTCATATAGTCCAGCTTCTCAGATTATTTGCTCAACATACAAATTGAATAAGTATGGTGAAAGGATACAACCCTGACATACACGCTTCCTGATTTTAAGCCATTCAGTATCCCCTTCTGTTCTGTTTGAATGACAACCTCTTGATTTACGTACAGGTTCGTCCTGGGCACAATTAAGTGTTCTGGAATTCCCATTCTTTGCAATGTTATCTATCATTTGTTATGATCCACAGGGTCAAAACTTTGCATAGTTAGTAAGATGTAGGCAGACATCCTTCTGGTATTCTCTGCTTTCAGCCAAGATCCATCTGACATCAGCAATGATATCCCTCATGCCACATCCTCCTCTTAATACAGCTTGAATTTCTGGCAGTTCTTTATGTACTGCTGTAACCATTTTGAATTATTGTCAGCAAAATTTTAGTTATGTGTAATATTAATGATATTGTTTAATAATGTCCACATTCTGTTGGATCACTTTTCTTTGGAATGGGCAAAAACATGGATCTCTTCCAACTGGTTGCCCAGGTAGCTCTCTTCCAAATTTCTTGGCATAGACGAGTGAGTGCTTCCAGCATTGCATCTGTTTGCTGAAACATCTCAGTTAGTATTCTGTCAATTCCTGGAGCATTATTTTTTGCCAGTGTCTTCAATGCAGCTTCTGTCCATCTTCCTTCAATACCATTGGTTCTTGATCACATGCTACCTCTTGAAATGGTTTAATGTCAGCCAGTTTTTTTGTGTGTGGTGTAGTGACTGTGCATTCTTTCTATCTTACTTTGATGCTTCCTGCATCATTCAATATTTTCCCCATAAAATCCTTCAATACTGCAACTCAAGGCTTGAATTTTTTCTTATTTTATTGTCTCTTCTATTCACTTTAGCTGTTCTCTGTTCAAGAGCAAGTTTTAGAGTCTCTTATAACATCCATTTTGGCCTTTTCTTCCTTTCCTTTTTAATGACCTTTTGCTTTCTTCTTGTATGATGTTCTTGATGTCATCCCACAACTCCTCTGGTCATCAGTCAGTGATATTCCAAATCTGTTCTTGAGATGGTCTCTAAGTTCAGGTAGGATATACTCAAGATTGTATTTCTTTGGTTTGGTGGACTTGTTTTAATTTTCTTTAGTTTCATCTTGAACTTGTAAATGAGCAATTGATAGTCTATTCCATAGTCAGTCAGTCCCTAGCCTTGTTCTGACGTGATAATGAGCTTCTCCATCACCTCTTTCCACAGATGTAGTTAATATGATTTCTGTGTATTCCATCTGGCCAGGTCTATGTGTTTAGTCACTGTTTAGATTGTTGAAAAAGGTATTTGCAGTAAATAACTCATCAGTCTTGAAAAATTCTATCATGTGATCTCTGGTGTTGTTTCTATTACCAAGGCCATATTTTCCAACCACCAATCCTTCTTCTTTGTTTCCAATTTTTGCATTTCAATCACCAGTAATTATCAGTGCATCTTGATTGCATGTTTGATCAATTTCAGACTCAGAAATTGGTAAAAGTCTTCAAACTTCATCTTTAGTGGTTGGTGCATAAATTTTAATAATAGTCATATTAACTAGTTTTCCTTGTAGGCATATGGATATTATCCTATCACTGACAGTATTGTACTTCAGGGTAGATCTTGAAATGTTCTTTTTGACAATGAATGTAACATCAGTCCT